AAAATAAACCGAGAGATGACAACAAGCATTTACTTAAGTGTTGCTGTGTTACTGGCTGAACAACACTTTGAAGTAAAAGCATCTTTTGCCATATCAAGGTCAACAGTTGACAGTGTGGTTCATAGCTCCATATTTAAAAGCATGAAAAAAACAAGCTTTTTGATCGTTGTGTCTGCAGCACCTGCCGACACAGCACACAATCCGCTAAGTGGTTTCATGTATTTCACTGATCTTCAGGATTTAATAACATACAAAGAATTTATGTGGAGTCAAGCACACACGCAATGTGGTTTGGTAAAAAACACATAATTTATTCATTTCTGGTTCGGTTCATGCTCAATTACTGGACGCACAGGTATGGAGATAGATGAGCTCTATTACAATACTCGCACATTACAATCTACATAATGATTATGTACACGTGTTAGATGTGATTCTTTTTTTTTCCTCTTACAAATAAATTAGATCAAAAGCAAAGCTGGAGCTGGAGATGGTGGGAACAGCACAAAGCCTATAAAGCCTTAAACGACTATTCTCAAATGAATACATTTGACATTGCCATGCCTGTGGCAACACCTAATGCTTCCATTAAAATTCTCTGTATTTACCTGGACCAATTTAGAATCGAGCTGGTCAAAGCAGCCAAAGTTTTAGCCAGAGTTTAATGTCTGAATGAGGCCAAACTTCATCAGAATCTTGCACTGTGTCACGCGTAACCTCCTTATTCAATTTATTCATAGTATAAATTAATAATGGTGGCTATTATATTATGCACAAAGGATAATGGGAATTACAAATCAGTCCACAAAATCAAGGACTGCAACAGTGGGGCTTATGTGGAGTAATTAATTGTGCTCAAGCTATCAATCTAGACTGCAGAAGCAAAAAAGACACAACTTCTCAAATAGAGGATATTAACAATGAGCCCTCAAACTTTTCAGCAAACTCGCCGTTTACCTTCCGTGCAGATTACAATGCCTGTAATGACAAAAACGGTGTCTATTATTCCAGCTTGTGACTACAGCACTGAAGTTGAGTGAGTGTAGTATAATGAGGACCTTTGAGATCTTCTTTTGATGTAACCATTTGATGTCAGCTATGAATTGTGGGCATTTTCTAAATTTTACTTGGTAAGTACTTCAATGAATGTCAGGCATGAATAATAAATGTAAAGAATCCGAGTTTGTGATGTCTGGGGAAGTTGGTAAATTAGCAGAGTTTCTGTATATATCCACATACAAAGGAGAAGAGAACTGAAATTGGATATGCAGACTTTTAAGGCAATATTTCTGAAGGTAAATATTTTCTAAGTGGTGAGCAGCGTTCTTGTAGTCTGTCACATTAAACTATTGATATGACTTTGGTGGATTTTGTGAAAAATGTCTGGCTCTCAACATTCTGCATTCATTGTAAACAACTTATAAAAGCCACATTCCTGAAAGCTTTGAGCAAACAACACCGTCTCCCGACTGAGCAGAGGAGTGCAAGGCCGTCTGTGAGATGGAAAATCTGAGTATCTTCTGAGCTGAACTTCTACACCTACAGCAAAGTGGCGAATAGCCTTTTGCTCATCACTCCAACTAAAGGGGTTTTTAAGTTATAGGTAAACCATATTTTCAAAGAATATGTAAGTGCTGCACAGTTCCACAGCATTTGGTGCAGTTTAATGCCAAAGCATTTATAACTGAATTTTAATTTCCTAAGCTGTCCCACAACCCCTCTCTCAAGTTTTATTGAAACATCTGCCTTATGAACTTGCATTATTTAATAAAAAGAAGTACCCTGTTTAAGCATAAAATACTCACCCTTGTAACTTCTTTAAACACTAAAAGAGCTTCACTGGAGGCTCCATACTTAAAATCTTTACATGCTATCTTTATCTGTTTTGTTGCTTATCCTAAGCAACCATCATAAGGGCTCAGAAAGCTAACGCCACAAGGCGTTATTGGTTGGAGTATAAAGATAAGAATTTGGCTCTCAACTATTTAGTGGAAAGATAAAAAAAAGAGAGGATGCTCTGAGTTGTTCCAGCGTCGACTAAATGAGAAGTCAATTTATCGAATTTCAACTGAAACTGTCTTTAAACCATGAGACATTTGAGATAATGAGGAACAACATGCTGGTTCACAGATTCCAATCTTTCACTCTGTTACTTTTAATGAGGTCGAACTGCTGACTGTGACTCATCACTCTGCTTTTTATCCAAAGCTTTGTTTTTCCTCCAATTTCTTAAGAAGGCCAAGGTATCAAACAGGGGGCCAATATGTGAGATATGAAGAGTAAGTTATTTTAGGTTCAATTACTACACTGTTAGGCACATTAAAATATATTTTATTCTTATAAAAAAAATGCTTTTATAAACTAAACACTGATTGGACAAGAAATGAAAACTTTCAGAAAATCTGTTTCTATCCAGGCAAAAAGAGGGATTCTTATACTTTGCATAAAAATTGCACATGGTTTGTTTTCCAAGAATGAGTCACGTCCAACAAATGCATGAAATAACTGGAGTGGTGCCTCTTACTTGTGTATTTTCCGGCATAGTCAGTCCAGTAGGGGTTTGTGAATTGTAAAGACGACAGATTAGAGAGAATGAGGTATTTTAGTCGCTCTTCGTTTAGGTCTGGTGTGAATGAAGGGGACTAAATGGGAGACACTGCAGCTCTCAATCTTGAGAAGAGAAGCTCTACAGAGGCAGGATAAAAGAAGTCAGTCAACCAAGGCAGCTGCTCAACTCACACTTTAGTCAACCAACCACACACACTAATCTTTAGTTGGAGACTCACAAAAGAAGAGAAAGCCGCAAACAGCAACGGGGTCTAACGAGTATAAACAGAGTTTACAAAGAGATAAAGATCCCAAGCAATTTCATCTTCCAACTTCTCGCAGTTCAATACATCTAAACCGAGTTACTCTAAAAGTTTAACTCTCAAAAGTGATGCCTTTTCTTTCAGCATAAATATTTCACAAAAGTTGGACAACTGAAGTGGGACTAACTCTATCAAGTCATGGTTTCCAATAGTGTAAAATGTTATATCCAAGGTTAGATACCAGAATGTAGCAGAATCACATGAACCTGTTGGACTGGTATTTTATTTTGAATAAGAAATAAAGGCAGGTGTTAAATCAATACCTTACCTAAACAAAATAGTTAAATCAGAGTCATAACCCTGTGGAGGGGTTTAAAGGCACTAACAAAGAAGAACTAAATTGCTCCAAGACCAAGTAGTGCAGCAGTGCAACAGGGCACAAGAAAAGCTTGTGCGAAAGTACATTTATTCTAAAGCCTTCTTTATCAGAGTCTCTATTTACCATTAATGGTCCACCATCAGCATAGGAAAGCAAGAAACAAAAGTAGTTGTGAATAAATGTGACCGTAGTATTAAAAATCCTCATAAACAAAGCCGAATCCATTCATTGTCCATACCACATATTCCATTAAGTCTTCCACGCAGAAAGACCCCAAGTCCCACTTACCAGAACACTCCAAGAAAAAAATATGCAGAGTACAAATTAAACCAGAGTACAAATACTTCTCTCAAATGAAAAGTTTAATCTTCAGAAAAAAGATTATCTTTGAATTCAAATGTAAAAAGCTTATTCCATCTGAAACATGGCAGTCAGTTGGATCTAGTTCAGGACGGTTTGCCACTACTGACAGAACGAGGAGTTTTGGTCTAAACCAGCCAATTCTGAAGACATGCCCAGGATATCTATGCATAACTTGAATCTCAATAGAAAGTAGGTCATGTAGCAAGTCAACAATACTGAACAAGCAAGGCATTCTATTAAACAATGGAAAAAAAAAAAAGGTTTTGTAATGTCCAAGTCTGATTGCTGACCTTAATCCAACAGATCTGTCGTGGGAGGACTTGAATCGAGCAGACTATGCAAGAAACCAGCCTACATCCCAGATTTGAAGCGGCTCTGTGCAGAGCAATGGACTCAAATTTCCCCAGGCGGATGTGCAAAAAAATTAGGAATTTAACATGAAAGTTTCATAATGACTTGAACTCAGCATGTCAGATCACTGAAAACAAATAATTTCTACACATGCACAAAAAGACAATACTAATCTTTATAACTGTTGTCCCCGATGTAAATCACATTCCGTCAAATTCAGTACTGATGTCATAAAAAGCCAATGTAATGCCATCAGCCAATTAATGTTCCATGTCTCGTGAATACAATCTATTCAGCAAATTTGAAATCTAACTATTATCATAATTACGATTGCTCTCGTTGACCAACAGGAAGTCGTGGCCAAGTTCATTTGTTGTGCTGCTATCTGAACTGCCATTATCTAATTACTAAAAAGCAGAGAATAAATACAGACATAATAATAATGGTAATATGGTCACTTCTGTTTCTCATCTATCTTAAGAACAAGAGGTCAGCATGGAAACCTCTCTGAGTTACTATATCAGCAAAGGCCAGCTTCCTAAAGAAACTAACCAAAGACTGATTCAAGTCCTTGATTAGCTTTTCAAAGCCTGTAAATACCTCAAATGGATGCAGTAATATACCCATCAATTGTTTTTTCAAGAGGATTGAAAATCATATTAACTGGCTTGGACTGAGCAATGATTTTATATGACAAGGATCCTAGTGAGTATCCATTGACATTTTTTAAAATTTGTATTTCTTGGGCACTCAAAGACCATGTCACAGAGGCACACTGCTATGAAATTTAACAAAATAATATTGAGGCCCTGGCCTAAAAAGCTTTCCTTACTGATTTTCCGAGCTATTTTTGGAGCACATCGCAAATACAAAGTACCTTGTAAAAAAAAATCTTTCTGAATTTTGTTTGGCAGTAATTCGATCAGAAAGAGGAAACCAGGGCGCTAGTGAGCAAGACATGGAGTAAGACGCACTTGTCCGGGCTCCTGCAGAATCCGTAACTCTATACCATTCAAACAGCTATTTTTGGATGAACAATGACACAACGCAATGCTGAAGATGTCTACTGAAGCCCAAGCTTTGTATTTGCTGTTTTAATGGCGGACAAACTCCAGAAATACAAATTCACCGCAAGTACTAGCAAACAAGCTAACCCGAAGCCTACCACGAGGAACACAGCCAAATTAGCCACACAGGGCGGAGCGACCCACACCGCACCCACCCATCCCTCAGGTGAAGTCCCAGGTATGGCTGAAGACTTGAAAGCGGAGATTCTGGCCAGCATAAGGGAAGACCTAAAAAACGTTATAAGAGATGAGCTCAAATCGGCGCTGGCAGACGAGATTAGCTCGATCAAAAACGACCTACAAGGGCTAAAGACGCTAATCGCTAACGATGTCACCGCTATCCGTGCTGACATGGAGCTCGTAAAGACAGATGTAAACGAGGTGAAAGATGGTTTGAACACATGGTCTGATGAAGTGTCAACACTACAGACAACAGTGGAAAGCCTCCAGAAAGAGATAAAGACAATGCGGGATAAATGTGAAGACATGGAGGGCAGAATGAGGCGTGCCAATATTCGGCTAGCGGGCATCCCAGAGGCTAATTCCAGCACCCCGAAGGCTATTGCTAGCGCCCTGAAAGAAATGCTACAGCTGGATCGTGACGTCAAAGTGGATCGCTCTCACCGTATTTTTGGGAGCTCGAGAGATGGAGATAAGCCACGGGTGATAATTGCTAAGATGCATTATGATGAGGACGCCGTGGAGATACTACGAAAGGCTCGTGACCAAGCACCGTTATTTTATAATGGCCAGCGTGTCTCAATATTTCCGGACTACACCGCTAACGTTGCTAAGGCGAGAGCGGCATTCTCAGAAGTGCGGAGTGCCCTACGCGGACGAAAGGACATACGCTACGGTCTTCTCTTCCCAGCTCGACTTCGAATAACCCATAATGGCAACAGCAGAGAGTTTGTGGATCATCGGAAGGCTATGGACTATGCCAAACAGATCCTAATGGAGGAGCGGCCTGCAGCAAACGACTAAATCCATCTCCGGACACTCCACAAAATACAGTGGTAAAGACTATAAAGCAAGGTGCAAGGTTTGTGATTTGTTGCCATTTGCCTGGCATATGCATATAGTTGGTTTGGGTGTTTAAATGTCTATTTGCCAATAAGTCTTATTTTATTATTTTTCAATTACTTTTAATCATTGTTACCTCTGCTGCGTATTTAATTTTACAGATCTCTGTCATTATTTCATTGAATTATAATCTTTTTTTTTTTTTCTCATTCTCATTTTTCACATAATTTAATATTATTATTTTTAATTATTATTTTTCTTGTATTTTATTCATTTATATATTTTTATTTAGTTGGTATTATTTTTGTTTTCCCTTTTTAGCTTGCAAAAAATATAGCAAACAGCTGTCTTATTTGTTATTGCTCTGCAGGAGTCCTAGGCATTGCTCTTGCAGTGTTTAAGAAGTCTAATTGTTACCTCAGATTTTGTCTTGGCGAACTTAAAGCACAGCCGAATTGGACCTAGGTTGTGCTCTGTTGCTGCTATTTAGGCGGCTAGGAACGAGTTTCCCCTTAAATAATGTCAATTGCATTATTTAGCTTATATAGGTTTTGTGTTAGTGTTCAAGTTATGACCCCCTTGTTCCCCGGGGATCTTGTGTTATGTTCCAAACAAAAGGGTGTTTATTGCTTATTTCAACTGATGTCATGTTTCACTGTACACATCTATGCTTCCCATCCTGCTTATGAGACCAACAGTTTTAAAAATAAATCAAAATCTATAGAAAAATGGGTGAACTGAGAATTGTAAGTTATAATGTGAAAGGGCTTCATAGCCCAATTAAGAGAAAGAAAATATTGCGTCAGCTAAAACAATTCAACTGCCACATTGCCTTTCTTCAAGAAACGCATCTGCCTGATGCAGAACACGAAAAGTTAAAATCATGGGCAGACAAAATATATTACGCTTCCCACAAATCTGGACGCAAAAGAGGAGTCTCAATACTTATTCACAAACAGATAAACTTTACTAAAAATTCATTGCATAGGGATAGTGAAGGGAGATTTTTAATAGTTAACGGGGTAATTGATGGTGTCGAAGTTTCTCTCATTAACGTATATGGACCGAATGAAGACGAACCAGGATTCATTAAAACATTATTCAATAAAATCATACAACATAGTACTGGACTGTTGCTGATGGCAGGAGATTTTAATTGTACAATGTCCCAGTTTGCCGATAGACAACCACCATCAAGAACACCAATGCCTAAAATGAGTAAAGCCCTTAAACACCTTGCTTTAGAGGCGGGTCTGGTCGATGTATGGAGAAGTAAACACCCAAGAGCTAGAGATTTCACTTTCTATTCTAATAGACATCTATCTTACTCTAGGATAGATTATTTCTTTACTCCTAAGGCAAATTTGGACAAAGTGACAGATATTGAGATTATGCCGATCACCTTATCCGACCATGCGCCTGTCCTGTTACAATGGGACATAGGACTTAGACCAACAACCAAACAGTGGAGGCTAAATACATCCCTGTTGAATGATAAAGAATTTGTGTCCTTCATTACCAATGAATTAAAGGAATATCTGAACAACAACTCTAAACCAGAAACAAATCCTCTAATTTTATGGGACTGCGCTAAAGCATACTTGCGAGGCAGAATTATTTCATACGCAGCAGCGAGAAAGCGGGAGAGAGAAGCCAAGCAAAAGGAATTAGAATGTAAAATAAAAAAAATGGAATATGAACATAAACAATCTAAAAAAGCTACCAGTGTGAAAGAGTTAAACGCGACTCGAAGACAACTAAATAGCCTATTATCTGTTAAAATTGAAGGTAACTTAAGATTCACGAATCAAAGATACTATGAGGATGGAAATAGGGCCAGTAAATTATTAGCGTTTAGACTACGGAAACAACAAGCATCAAATATTGTACAAAAGATTAAGGTCCAATCAACTTATGTTACTAAACCAAATGACATATCTAAAGAAAGAGGAAACCATTCAAACCTCTTTGAATCTTATTTGGTTTAGAATACATTCATTTGTTGATATAATGGAACCCAAGCTAAATATCTAGTATTCCTGGTAAAATGGAAAAGCCCCACTCCATGTGAAACCATACACCAACCCAGAGAAGTCTGTCCATGTTACCTGTCGTCTGAGATGCTGAAAATAGTTTAAACCACCTCGATTCTCAGTTGTTGATTCCATGTAATCCAATATCTCCTGTCAGCTACAGACTCGGAGCTAATTACTCACCAATTTCCCAACACGTCATCACAGCCAGATTGTGCCCACAAGGCCACATTCTTACGAGGAATGACTTGGCAAATAAGGGTACAACTTAAAAGCATATTAGCTTTTATTAACTACAGCTAAATGAATGGATCAGTTGTCAGCCATTATGTCAGTGTCTAAGAATGAGGAGTGTGATGCCTCAGTAAATTAGGCAGAACATGTTTTGGCAGTAAAGATATATGAAATAAGGAGGACCAGAAAAGAAGAATATGAAAAGGAAAACAGAAATAGGGGCCACAAACCACTTTTCTCTTGACTGAGCATGGGGCATCTTTTATCAGGGTTCATCCACTTCAATTAATCTTTAACAAATGTGATGCAACCCTTTCCAACCCCTTTCACGAATGCCACCTCATTCTCATCACCAGCATTCGCTCTCTCAAACATATAAAGCCTGAAAAAATTTATATTGCACTTCTGAGCATTGATTCAAGCTACCTTAGGACACCTACTGGGCTACCAAAAAGAGCAGTTAAACTTTCATGGAGTAAAATCAAGAACCTGTGGGGAATGTAATCACACTGAGTGAAAATAATACAGAGGTGCGTGTTGAAAGCTTGCTTTAGAGCTCCTTTTCCTTCCTGTGTATCACTTCAGCTGCAATTTTACCAGAAAGCAAGAGTCCTCACACGAAAGGTTGGTCTTTGGAAATACCCAAGCCTCAGTTATGTTGTGCAACAGTCAGGATTGCTCAATAATGCATCAAAACCCACAACCCTCATGTAGAAGCAGTCAGTAATCAAAATACAAGTTAAGGTTTTCATAATAGTGGACTATAAATAACTGTGGAGAGAAATTATGGTTATGTAAATTTGATGAAGGATGATTCAAACCAAACAATGAAGCTTAGCTCAAGAAGAAGGGATGTGAGGCTGGCCAGTGTTGTATTTTTGGTCATATGCACACAATGGGTTCATCCTTAGTGCTACCATCTAAATCTAGAATCTTGAAAAACCTGTAGCATGGTGATACGAAAAATATATTTTTGTCTTCTATCACTTCAATTTCCAAAACTCCCTCAGTTTGTCCTAGTTAAGAATAACAATAAGGACACAACAGGTTATCAGTACAGTATGTATATTCTATTCATATATATGTATACAGAGGGAGATGATGTATTTAATATGTAAATACACATTTGATATACTTTTTTATTTAGAATAAATACATTATTTTGATTTATCTATACCTTGTTTAAAAGACTCCAAATCTGATAGAGTTCATTAAAAAAAACATCAGGGTAGGAAAAAAAAAATCCATGAGGATTTAAGGAGATTTCTTTAGAACTTCTCTTTTTTCATGTTTTGATTCCCTATTCATGCTTCGTGTGTTGTGGGTGTGGTGTCTTCTGCCTACATCACATCTGAGATGAATGCTTGACTCATGTGGCGTGAACTATACAGATTACTGTTCTCCACTGCTTAACCAGTGGCTTTTTCTTCACCTTGAGCACTTCCATTTTTTTCCCCAGGTTTCAAGGCTCTTCGCACTTTGCTATGGTATGTTGAGCATCCACCAACTACCAGAACAGCTTCCACACACTAATTCTTGTCCATCTGCATGCCTGCCTGGCTTATTCTCCCCACAATCTCCAAAAGCTGAACAACTCACTGGTTCAGGTTGCGCTCTCTGGTATCCTGATCACTCACCTTGACTGTACCCACAAGTATTTTCTTGGATGCTTGCCTCCACTAGTCATGTTTTTGGGACCAAAACCAAAAGCATTTATAGCACAAAGCCCTATTGGTGTCTCTCTGTTTTGCTGAAATGTAGTTACTTGAATCAGTTTTTTTTTTTATCATCTGCACATTACCATATTGTTTGGATGTGGATGAGATGATATGTTTGTTCGAGAAAAAGTCTACAGATCAAATTAATCTGTCACATGCTTGTAGAGCCCAAAAGATCGTGTGCACTGAAGGAGAAAAAAACTACCTAGAAAAAAATGTTTGTATATATCACTAACAAAAAAAACCTGCTGCTTCGGTTGTATGCGTTTACAAGCCATCGGCCTGTTAGAATTATGTAACCATGTTGACTTACCGTCAAACATTTTGTGCCTTGAGATAAATGTTGTCCTTATGTGGTGGCTGCTCTCCTCGACCATACTCTCAAACTCCAGTTTGCTCTGCTGGTTGAGTTTGTCCTCCATCTCAGATGTGCAGCAGGTGTATCCCTGAGGACAGACACGGAGGTGCTCACCTGGAGGAGACAAAAACACAGTGCATCCAAATTCAAGCATTTGTATTTTTTAAAAGACTGAGCTGAGCCTTTGATAAAATTTTTAAAAATCCCCCTGCGATTTTAGGTCTCTCATCACCCAAGCTATCAAAGGACCGGAGCAAATCAGAAAAGATAGTATTTGGTCACTTGCCATCAAATAAAACAGAAAGTAACTTTGGTATAGGAGTGCCGATGACTTGTTTAGAGTTTCCTTTCTCAAAGCATTGCATGGTTTCAGGAATAACGGTACACCTGCTTTCACAAATTTTCCTTGGGACATGCAAAAGTCAGGAAACTCAGGTTATAGTGCAGCTTCTTATTTTCAACTGTAAAATGTGTACTTACATAACAAGCATATACACACTACAGCAACAACTGCTTATTCACTAAACAGAATACTTAATATTAGCATGCATTTGGAGTTGAGTTTCTGGAGCCCTCCATGGAGTTCTGCTTTTAGCTTTTATATAAATATTTGGCTTT